TAATGCCGGGGGCTTAAGTGGAGAGGAAATGTTTTGAGAATGATGAGGGCAATGAAAGTACAAATGCGCTTTACACAATTGATGTGTATATGGATTGTGATAAGAGTTGTATGATCCCCATTTTTTTAAAAGAAAATGAAGTAGTAATTAAAGGAAAAATAAATAAGTAAATTTTAAAGGTTTTTGGTCAGTTAACAAAAGTCTTGAAACTAAAACTGTTGTAAAAATAATGTTGAAAGATTTTACAACAAAACGTGTTGTAAGTGGTTATATAATTTTAAAACTATTGCATTTAGTCAATTTATAACTATATACCAAATTATTAAAATTGGTAAATATGTTCTGCAGATGTCATGGAATGTTGACCAGTTTCACCCAACATCAACGTGTTGAAGTTTTCACCAATATGTAAAACAAAGAAAAACACCTCAATTAAATGTATTGCAACTCATAATGACCCCATAGAGCAGAGTAGAACTACTACATAGGGTTTCTGGGTCAGTTGCAATGTCTTAAATTTATTATTTTAGGTGTTTCTCTTCTCTTGGTTTAACTTTTTTCCCCTCACTAATATCTTTGCCAATGGTTTGCCAGCTTTATCTGCTCTTGTGGAGAAGTGATGTTAAGCTGATAACCACAAGGCCAGCAGTTCAGAAGCACCAGCTTCTCCATGGGAGAAAGATAAGACTTTCTATTCCTATAATGTTACAGCTTGGAAACCAGTAGAGGCAGTCATACACTGTCTTATAGTTGGAATCTATTTCTCTTGCTGAAAGTGAGCAGGACTTAAATTACTTGCTGATAAAAATCAAGAATTTCAACCTTCAGTATGGATTACAACACAATATAAAGAAAACCAAAGTCCCCCCAACTGGATCAATAGGTAGCATCATAGTAAATGGAGAAAACATTGAAGTTGCCTAAGACTCCATCTTGCTTAGATCCACAGTCAATGACCATGGAGCAGCTGTCAAGAGGTCAAACCATGGGTAAAACTGCTGCAAGAGACCTCTTTAAAGTATTGGCAAGCTAAGTGGTTACTTTGAGGACTAAGGTGCACCTGACCCAAGCCTCATATGCACATGAAAATCAGACATTGAATAAGGAAGACAGAAGAATCAATAGATACGGGTTATGGTACTGGTGACAAATATTGAAAATACCATAAATTTCCAAAAGAACAAACATCTGTCTTGGAAGAAGTATAGCCAGAATGTTCCTTAGAGATAAGGATGGCCAGACTTTGTTTCATGTACTTAGCACATGTTGTCAGGAGAGACCAATCCCTGCAAAAAGACATTATGCTTAGTAAAACAGAGAAGCAGTGAACAATAGAAAGGCCTTACGTAGTGGCTTGACATAGTGGCTGAAACAATGGGCTCAAACATAAGAACAATTGTGATAATATCACAGGACTTGGCACTGTTTCAGAGTTGAAACTGACTTCATGGTACCTAACATCAACAATTACTTATTCCTAACATAATACATTTAATGCCCACAAGCAAAAAGCACACAAAGCTTATTTACAACTTATATTTGATAAAATATCTAATGCATACATACTAAGAGGAAATATAACAATTTCAGCCCTCATTTCTGCAGCTGATCACATAGATACAGCTGAAATTCAGATCTACCTTTTTCTACTAACAATTATTTGTGTATTTCCTTTGCCATCAGCAAGCACCTCAGCTGGTTGTGGTTCTTTGCCTAATGGGGTAACAAAATCTTCATTTCTGAAAAGTCTGAGCCACTAGTGGTCATGTTGAAATTGGGTTGCTGTAGTAGTGCACCATTGACTTTTATCATAGGGCATGGTAGTGCTATGAGAATTCCTAAGGAATCTCCTGGATTCCAAACATCTTCTTCTTCACCTAAAGTATGTAATAGCATTCAAATTTTTCCTTGGTAATCAGGATTAATCACTCATATCCAATTCAGAAACTCCTTCTTTGCCTGTTGATCCAATGGCAGGAAGATCCAAAATGGAGAGGGGACATTGTTCACTTTGAATACAATGAAATCCATGTTGTGTCTCTAAATGGATTTAGAGACATTTCTAAATCTAAATTCATTTCTTGTCATCTCCAGACATGAAGATCATAGAGCTTAAGGAATAGGAAGCAACAGTTTTTAAATAAATCACTAGGAGTAACAGGGAGTGGTGCCAAATCCATTTCCATTCTTGGTTCTTGCATCTGTGGATTCTTGTTACTGGAGAAGAAGCATCATATTGGATGCTATTTTAGAACTTTACAGCCTCCTGAAGAACATTGTGCAAGCCCTGCAAGATTGGTGGTATAATTGGGTTCATAATTGTCTTTTGTTTTTAAACACACCCATATTAATTTACTGTGAGTCCATTATGACCACAGCAATTTACATATTGTATTTGGAAGTCATAAGACAAGGGGGCTTCAAAATGTTTGTGGGAAAATGGAATTTAAAAGCATTTCAAATAACACATTTATTTCACTTAACTACCACTGAGATGCTCTGGAAATTTTACTGATGATATACCACAAAGAAAACACAGCATACTTCATAAATACTTTAAAGGAAAGCCAACACTTTGGCAGAGTGTCTGGCTACATAAACTCTTTATTTAAATAATACAGTATTTGGCCATGCCTGTAATTGTGTTTTTATAAGGCTACTCCATAATTCTACGAAGCCAGCTTTTTCACGATGATGGGAATCATGGTAAGACTAGTAAATTCCATGAGTCTGGACCCATTACCTCACTCATTTGCTGCAAAGCAAGTTCCTTAATTTGAGGCAATACTGTATGGGATACTATACTGGTGGATAAGGCATTCTGCAAATTCAAAGTTTGAGCACAAATACCACATGCAGGGAAAACAATCCATTTCTAGAGTGTCTACTCCATTAAGAATAAAATGCTGTCTTTCCCATGATGTAATCAACCTGCCATCAGTTGCTGGCTGATAATGGAACTCAATGTTGGTCTCTGATTTATTGTGTGTAGTCATGTGGTTTCTGTTTGTTTATATTCGAAACAAGTAGAAAAATGAAGCACTCCTTTTGGAATGTAGCGCACCTTTTCGGAGTCATAATTTGTTTCTCATTCTTTGGATCTTGCTGGGACTTAAGTTTAGTTAGAGATCTAGAGGAAATAATGGGAAGAGGAGTATTTCCTGGGAATATTCTGTAAGTTTTTGTAAAGCGTCTAACTCAGGTGATGCTCCAAGTGCCATATTGGACACAGTTAAGCTAGTCTCATTAAATGTGGGCAAAAAGAATAGCATTTTTACTGATAATGGATTAGCTGTGCAGTCTTTTCTGATGAAGGCAGAGCTCTCAGTTACAATGGAGGCAAGGTTATTGGTAATCACACTTGAGAACCAATTTATTAATTGTATTTATCCTTATTCTTTTATTTCTCTAGAATCACTCAGTACCAAATATCCTAGGCTGGATTCTATAGCGAAGCAAAATTAGTGAGGTTCATATATGTACAGATATATGTATGTGGGAAAGCTCCAAATCCACGGATCAGTTGACTTGCATAGGTGCAGGAGCTAATGAATCCACAACTGGCTGTCAAATGACAGGTTCCTGACTCCAAACCAAAAGGAAGGTTGCTAGGCTGCTAACAACTCCCAAGATGTGCAGACAATATGGCAGGCTTTTAGTGACATTTTAATGAACCAAAGGTCAACAGGCAAGATGGCAGACTGTTGATAACTCCCGGGATTCACAGATAATACAGCATACCATTGACTCAAATCCAAAGAATTGGAATAAAACCAGAAAAAAGGAAGCAAGCTTTCCCACAGAATGGTCTTACTTTGGAGGCAAATCACACCCTAAAGGGGATGTCATCAAGGGGAATTGCTACGTTTGAGCTGTCATACTTCTGAGATTCTTAGCCCAAACAAATAGAAAAAAATAACTTTCACACTGTAGTTTCTATTTCTCTATTGAGTTTGTCATTTTGCTTTCCAAGTTTTTATTCAATTCTTCTAGATGCTTTTAAATGTTTCCATTGATATCTTTGAACTGCCTGAATATTAGTCTTTTGAATTTGTTGTCAAGTAGTTCTATTATCAGTTTTTCCTCAAAGATTTTCTATCTTTTATATTGTTCGTGTCATTTTATCTTATTGCTATTTTCCCTTTATGATTGGTAATTTACTGCTGTCATGGAGACATTAAGATTCTGTTTATTTGTTTTATGCATTTCCTTATTTATTGGCTTTTACGGGTATTATCTTTTTTAAAAAATAATTTTATTGGGGGCTCGTACAACTCATCACAATCCATATATACATCTATTGTGTCAAGCTCAGTTGTACATTTGTTCCCATCATCAGTCTCAAAACATGTTCTTTCTACTTGAGCCCTTGGTATCAGCTCCTCATTTTTGCCCCTCCCATCTCCATCCTCCCTCCCTCCCTCCCAAACCCTTGATAATTTATAAATTAGTATTGTTTTGTCATGTCTTACACTGTCTGATGTCTCCCTTCACCCATTTTTCTGCTGTCTGTCACCCAGGGAGGGGGTTATATGCAGATCATTGTGATCGGTTTCCCCTTTTTCCCCCACCTTCCCATTACCCTCCTGGTATTGCTACTCTCATTATTGGCCCTGAGGGGTTTATCTGTCCTGGATTCCCTGTGTTTCCAGCTCTTATCTGTACCAGTGTACATCCTCTGGTCTAGCTGGATTTGTAAGGTAGAATTGGGATCATGATAGTGCGGGGAGGAAGGATTAAAGACCTAGAGGAAAGTTATGTTTCATCGGTACTCTACTGCATCCTGCTCTTCTCCCCGTGACCCTTTTGTAAGAGGATGTCCAATTGTCTGCATATGGGCTTTGGAACTCCACTCTGCACTCCCTGCCTCATTCACAATGATATGATTTTTTTGTTCTTTGATGCCTAATACCTGATCCTATCAACACCTCTTGTGCTTCTTCCATGTGGGCTTTGTTGCTTAGATGGCTGCTTGTTTATCTTCAAGCCTGTAAGACCCCAGATGCTATATCTTTTGATAGCTGGGCACCATCTGCTTTCTTCACCACATTTGCTTATTCACCTGCTTTGTCTTCAGCAATTGTGTCCGGAATGTGGACATCATGGAATGTATAGACATTATGTGGGCATCATGGAATGTATGGACATTATCTTGCTGTACTTGGAGAATGCCTTTTTTCCCCCTTTCTATTTTTATCATCTATTTATTTTGTATTGTTTTAAATTATGATGTTTTTTAGTATTGGACTATCTGTGTCTATGACACACTTGGTTGTACAGGGTATAGTGGGCCAGATTCTCTAATTTCTCACTGGTGGGTATAATGGGTCACATAAATACTGGGGTCATCTGTCATTGGGCATGCATATCTTCTCTTAAAGAATTGCATGGAAGTTATGAGACTTCAGGTGTCAGGTGATCAGGATCCCTTTACCACATTTTTTAGTGGGGTTTTGTGATTCCTCTGCAATGGTGTTTGCTGTTATTGTGAACTCCAAGCACAATGGTCATATTTTCAGACCCCTGGAAGCGGTACAACTTCATTGGCCTGGGGATACCCTCTACATAATTTTTGAATTGTGTCCTAGTGACAGGGTAGGCGGGGTCTTCTTGTATTTTCAAAAAAACAGAGGGGTTAGGTAGATCATGGAAGGTACACACTCTGGGAAGGTCACTAGAGGAACCTTGCCTCACAGGTTGGGTGGGGATCAGAGTGGCTATCATGAGTGAGAAGTGAGAAACAGTGAGTGAGAAGAACTGCCTGGATGTCTCACTATTCAGGACAAGAGCATTCATTTAAGATGAATTGATCTAATTTACCATCTTAATAGTACTTGAAAAATAAGTGATCAAGGGAACTTTGTGAAATATGGCCCTGTGTAGGTATAAGAGTTGAACCCTTCCACAACTAGAAATGTGCACTTAAAATTCTAAGTGCTATTAAAATTAAATGGAGTACCATGGCAAAATGACAGTATGCTGAAACAAGAAATGTGACATTATGATAAAAAAATTTTAAATACCTATTGTTTCTGCCTTTTCTATTTCCTATTCAGTGACTCTAGCAGTGGCTGCAATGGAAAAAGACTAGACCACGTTCAGTGTTCTCAGAGATAGAACCTAGTCTCTGGTTCTGGAGTAAGTGAAGAAGATTTTGTGGGAAGACTGTTCAGCATGTCTGTTATAATCTGTCTGGGAGTGTCCTAAAGGACAAAAACCTAAATCTTACTGTCCAACAAAGTAAACCAGAGTCCTCCATAACCAATGGATAAGCAGATGGATTCGGGATTCACACTTAACCCTAGCTCCAATCTAAGAAAAATCAGTTCTGATAACAGGGCCCTGCTCAATGCTCACTTTAAGGAAAGGATCACTGAAAATACAGACACTAAAGCAAAATATAGTGAAGAAAGCAGATGGTGCCCAGCTATCAATTGGAAGAGTGTCTGGTGTCTTAAAGGCTTGCATTCAAACAAGCAGTCATCTAAGTGAAGAGTCAACTAAGTCCACACAGAAGAAACATATTAACCTGTGTGATCAAAATATGACAATAAAAAGATCCAAATATGATTAAAGGAAAAGTATCAGAGCTTAAATTGTAAATACCCAATTTGTAGAAGACTGTGGGGGACAGTGGGAGTCCAAAATTCATCTGCAGTGTATCTTGTTAGATCAAGCCTCTGGTAGATCCCTTTGAACCACAAGGAAGGGATTCAGAATACCAGCTTTCCTGTAAGACAGAGATTTTTGTAAACTTGATTTTGGTGGATCGAACATGGTATAATTTGACACTTGGTCAGCTAACCTCCATCTCGACCCTACCTGAATTTAGTCTGGGATCAAGTATTTTTTGCTTGTTCTATGATAAAAATGTCCTCCCTGTTTTTTTAAAACATTGATGGTGGGTTTTTTCTTTTATTCTTTATTTGTATTGTTATATTATTATTTTAATCTTGTCATGTTATCTTGTTTGTTTTTTGATTGTTACTGCTGGGTTTCCCAGTTGGTGAAGCACAAAAGAAGTAGCTGCATAGAGCTAATAACGAATGCAATGGTTTATTGAGGATGTGAGGTGGTGAGGGTGAGAGATAGGGAGGGTGAGGGGATTTGAGGAGCAAGTAAGGAATCTGTGAGGGGGCAGAGAGCACTGGAACTGATTGTGATTATGCATATGCAAGTAATTTTAAAAGCAATTTAACCATAGAGGTATATGAATTGTGAATACTATATCAAGAAAACCACTAAAAAAAGAATGTTGATATTTTGTGGAAAATGTAGCTAATGTCATTGAAAAATACGGATATAAATTGTTTCATGGGATTTTAATTTGCTACGTAAGCTATCACCAAAACACAATTATATGTATATATTTAAATCTAGAGCTTGGAGAGGGCAGAGGGGAGAGGAGAATGCAAGGACTGGATGAATGCCTGAGACTTTCTTATAGAAATTAGTATTATCAAAAACACTATGTGTATGCTCAGAACTAGCACACTGTAATAGTCTATTATATCATATTCAACAAAAAAATTCACAAAGGACTTTTTAAAAATCTGGGAGCAAGGTCACTCTTGTTGGACAGGTTTCTTTGTTGTTCAGACTAAGAGGAACTAGGAAGGAAAAATCTGGTCAAC